CTGCCTTCAGCATCCACCTTTAGATCCACAATGATACCTAAACTGGAATTTCTGAAAGCAATCTTGCAACCACAACTGCAAGGATGGTGTGCAGGGTTTCTCATGTTATCTGTTGAAAACACACACAGAGACCACTTTTTTGTAAGTTAACGAGTCACCCAGGCTCCCCATTTCTTCTCTGCTATGCCCGACTAAGAGCATTGCCCTTATTCTAGCCATTTTCACAGACAGCAAAGCTGCAATCTGACTAGCAGGGACTGAAAAGTGTTGACTGATTGGGGTATTGAAACTGAAGGCCCGGAGTTAGCCCACATTTCTAGTTAGAGTAATTCATGAATCCTGAAGCATCCTTGCTTCATGTTTTAACATCTCTGAAATAAAGATGCTTCAGAAAATCAACAGTAGACCACAGTTTGACAGCAAATTTTTTCCTAATGGTCCATAAGATAATGGTGCACTTTAAAATTGACAGCATCTTAAAGGAAATATGGTTATCTATGTCAACGGTCAACCTTAAATGTTTGTTACAAAGCGTTTGCAATAAGCACAGGAGCAAAGAGGCCCCAAAGACAACAGAGAGCAGTGGACTCCGTGGCAACTACACAGCATGCCTGCCACATCTCACAGCCACAGTTCAGACCCACTGATTGCTGCCAGGTGAGAACGAGGCTTCAGTGAAGTCAGATTTTTACCATTTTCCCATGAAAATTCCCAAGCTTTAAAACACTATGGAGACCAGAGCTCCTGATTAAGCCTGTTTACAACCGAGCTCCTGATTAAGCCTGTTTACAACCCCTGACATTTATCTTTACCTTATGTTATCCTGGTTAATCTAGCCATGAAGACCTTTCAAGATACTTGGAAGAAAGGGAGCATGTTATAAACTAGGGCTGTGGACTCAACAGAACTAGGTTCAAATCCTGACACCATGATTTACTTGCTCTGTCCTTATATGCATCACCTAACCTCTCTTAGTCTCCATTCCTCATCCTATCCCATATAATAAAGATGTAATATAATAAAGATGAAACCGGTTTGGCTCAGTGGAAAGAACGTCGACCTGTGGACTGAAAAGTCCCAGGTTCGATTCCCGTCAAGGGCATGTACGTTGGTTCCGGGCACATCCTCAGTGGGGGGTGTGCAGGAGGTAGCTGATCGGTGTTTCTCTCTCATCAATGTTTTTGGCTCTCTATCCCTCTTCCTTCCTCTCTGTAAAAAATCAATAAAATGTATTTTTTTTAAAATGTAATATGCAAATGGTCCTCACGACCTACCCAGTCACGACCTACCAGATCACGGATTAGCAGGAGAGTGGGGCAGAGAGCTACAGGAAAAGGCAGAGCAGCAAGCTATGAGGAGGGGCGGAGGAGGGGCGAGGGGAACTACATGAGGGCCGGCAGCAGGCGAGAGCTACTGGAGGGTGTCAGGAAGCTCCTGGCACACAGATTCATGCGCCGGGCTACTAGTCTGTAAATAAGAGCACACCTCAGAGGGATCTTATGAAAATTAAATGAGGCAGCAAATGTATAAAGGCTTTAATACAGTGCTGGTGTAGAGAAAGCATATGAAACATTAGCCCGCTATCCTTATATTTGTATAAAATGAGGAGGGAGACTGGCAAAGAACCATCCCAGTTCAGCCTGGCCTTCATTTCTATGCCATTTGCCTCATTCTAATCACCAAAAAACTTTCAAATGCCACATCTAATAAGAAAGCTGTCATTCAAACTTTCACCCCCTAGAAAAATCTTTTCAATAAAGGATACCTAAAATGTTGTAATAAAAGACTTCAGTGGATTAACAGTAACAATCATGATTCAACTGAGCCAAAATGTGCTACAGACTGCCAAAAAAAATAAATAAAAACAAAAATCCAAACAAAACACCACCAAGGAACCAAGCCAGATGCAGAAACTAGTCCAAACTCTTCTGGTTTCAACCCAAATCTGATCCTGGGCCCTGAATAAGAAGTATTGTTAATTTGCTAATCTCTCCAACACCAAAAATACTTCATCTGATGGCAATTTCACATTTGGCTACCTAAAATAATTTGATTTAAGTCAGGGTGAATATGAACGCTACCTCACCAGAAGAACGTCAGGCAGAAAGGCACAACAAAAAATAAACAGCTCTCACACAAGCAGAACCCACATTTAATCCCTTTCACTCTACCAGCTGGGCAGACCCAGAAACAATGCCCTCTGTCTTGGCATACCTTGTTTTCTGGGTTAATGCAACGCCTCACGAGCAGCAGCACTCAGAGCTAGTCTTCCTGAGACGGAATGGAACTAAGTGCTCTCCACACATACAACGCTTTTCATCAACTTCCAGTGAATATGTAAAATCTGTTAGTATGGATGCCTACTTTGGTAAGAGGTTTAAAGGTGGCTCTTTTCTGTAGCAATCAAAGCATCTCCGCGTGTGATGTCCTGCAGCACACCAAGTGTATGAACCCAAGCGCATCATATTTCACACGCCCTGGGAAACAAGCCTGCCATTGGTTATCTGGCATCCTACTTAAAGAGCCTGTTAAAATCTCCCACGTGTTTCCTTACATAGGTTAATTCCGGGAGGTGAAACAAGCTATACAAATTCAACAATGTGTTGTTAACAGTCTCTGAAGGCATTCCCTGATTTCCCAAGGGCAACCTGACAGCCTGACACCTCCCATAAAAAGCAAACACCACTGGGAGGAGGAAAGGGAGGGATGAGGACACATTGTAATACCTTAATCAATAAAGAAAGAAAATTAATTTAAAAAGCAACTACTACAGAAATATGAAATCATCAAATCATTTTTCACTGGTAGAAGCTGAAAAAGAAATACAGGTGTGACTTGTCTTTTATAATGCAATGTGTGAGGAGCTAAACAGTACCAGCAACATGGCCATCACTCAATCAATCAAATGTCTACATCACCCCATACAGCCCAATACCCCTCCAGCAGCATACAGAAGTGAACCCAGTCATACACATTACACACATACACAGATCCTCTTTACATTCCATCCTTCACTCTCACACTAGATGCCAGCTAAGATCTTCAGTCTTTATGAACTCATCCAGACAAAAGTGGCAAGATGCACTCTAGGGAGGTTCATTGTAAACAAAGGCCAAACAACAGTGACATGCATGTGATTCATTTAACCAGTTGCATTTCCCAAAAACACTTGCACATTTTTTTTTCAGGGAGCTATTAAAAATAATCATGTGATTTTTTGAAAGACCTATGATGCAAGGCAGCTGTCTCCGTGGTCCACAATACCTCACTCTCTTTGTTTAGGAATGTCTGCGTCTCCACACCTTTCCGAGAGCTCACTGCCTGCCCTCTGCTGCCCCTAATTAAATGGGGAAGTATAGAAGGAAAGAGAAAGCTATTTAAAGGGGAAAGAAGCCAGAGAGAGAAGCCCCTAAGGGAATGAAACAATATTACTTTTCACCCATCCCCAGGTACCTGCACACACACACACACACACACACACACACAACAGGGAAATGACTTTACACGAGCACAGCACAAAATAATCAAAATGTAAATCACACATTATTTGCATTGTGATCATTCTTTGATAAAATACCACCGCATGCTTTCCCTTGGACCGTTAAGGGAGGGGGGGAAAAGTCACACCCCCAAACACCCTCCCCACCCTAAATTACCTAGTCCATTACACACTTACATAGCGCGCGAGCGCACGCGCGCGCGCACACACACACACACACACACACACACACACACACACCCAGTACCAGAGGTTGGAAAGCTGGAGAGAAGCCATAACGTGGGTATGTGTCAGATAATACCCTTTTCGTTAACGCCGGCCCCCATTACGAGAGGAAGAGGGGACCTCAGCAAAGAAAGGAGGAGGAGAAGAAAGAGAAATCCTTGAATTTCCAGGCATCAACTTTTCATGAAATGCACCACCAGGATAGGAAATACCTCCCTGCTGAGTAATGCTTCACGGGTTGTACATTCACCTCTCGGAGGGGGCGCCAGACCTGAGCGCTACCGGCCCAAAGGCAAACCCCTCCTACCTGCCTGCTCCATCCAGCCGGCCGGTCAAGCCGCGCCGGCCACGGGCCGCCCACCCCCCTTTTGGGCAGAGCAGCGCACCAATGAGAGCGGAGCGTGGCTGGGCCGGAGGGGGGTCAGCGGGGATTCGGTGGGATCCTTTCAAAAAGGGGAGTGGGAAAGCGCGAGGAGAGAGGGTGAAAAACAAAGCCCTTCCCAGTGAAACCGACAGCCTTAGGGGCGGGGCTTATTTCATTCGCTTTATTAATAAAAGAGATCGATGGAGCTTTCGATTTTCCACCAGTCCCGGAGGTGCCAGGCTTTGATCCTTGAGGGGGGGGGGGGGGGGGAGAGAATGGCAGAGCTGCAAGCTTCCTCCAAGTTTCCAGGAGCACCTGCCACCATCCTAGACCTCCTCCCCACCACCACCCCAAAGAGACCCCAAAACCCACACTCCGGGCTCTAGACCCTGCAAGACAGGGCAGACACAGCTCCGCGCGCACACGCAGCAGAACACTCGCGGACACAATGAAAGTTCCGGGGAGAGACGATCCAGGTTCCTCCGGGCCCGGGGTCCCCAGCCCTCTCCTCCCCCCAGACGTGACACACGTCACGGGCTCCCCGGCTGCGGCGGAGAGAGGCGGAAAGTTGCCCAACAGCCCGGGGAGCCGCGGCCGGGAGAGAGGGGGCACCTCGCGGGCAGAGGCGCACGAGCCTCCTCCTCCCCGAACGCCGGACAGACTGCGGCCGGTGAACCGGCTCCGAGGGCGCCGCGCCGCTTTATTTACAAACAATGAGCCTGGCGGGGGGAGGGGGCGCCGGGCGGAAGGGCTGAGCCCAGCCCCCCGGGACCCCACTCCGGGGCGCTCCCGTGTTCGGGGCAAGCCCTGCAGCCGTGGGCCACGCGTACCCCGGGGGTCCCCATCCGCTGCCGGCTCGGGGCAGGAATTCCCCGGGGAGTCCCGGCAGGAAAGGAAGAGAAAGCCGCTCACCTCGTCTTCCGAAAGTCCGTACACCGGCTCCCCGAGCCCGGTCGCCATGGAGCCGGCGCCCCGCACGGGTCGGGGGCTCTCCCGGGCGGGCGGCTGGGCTGCGGCGCGGGCGGCCGAGGGTGCCCTCCTCCTCCCTCCGGAGCTCGCCGGCCCCGCACACCCGGCCCTGCACGCGCCCCCGCCGCAGGTGAGGAAGCCGGAGCGGGACCGGGGCTGGGCCGGCGCCGCTTCCTCCCGGAAGGCTGCGGTGCAGCGGGCGGTCCCGGAGCGCGGAGCAGCGGCCGGCGGCCCCGGCGCCTCTCCCTGCGCGCGGCGGCGGCGGCGCGGAGCCCGCCGGGCTTTCCTTCCCCGCGGCCCGCGCCTCCCTCCCTCTTCCCGGCTCGCCCGCCCCCTCGCCCGCTCGCTCGCTCTCTCCCGGCCCCCGCTCTTTCCGCCCCCTCCTCCGCCTCCTCCCACCCGACGCCCGGCGGGGACCCCCCTCCTCGCCGGGGCGGGCACACTCGCCCCCAAGCCAATCACAGGCCTGCTGGGCGGCGGGCCGCGGGCGGCGGGGGTGGCGAGTTCGGCCCCCACGCCCCCCTACCCCGCCCTCCGGCCTCCCGGGGCGCTCGGCGGGGCTCCCGCGGCTCCCCGGGCCCAAGGAGCGGTGTCCGAGCGGACCCGTCCTCCGGAGCCTCCCCCCGCGCTCTGCTTTGGGGAGGGGGCGGGCTGGGCATGTGGGGGCGCTGGAGGCAGAGCTACAAGAAACACGCAACATTCAGTCCATTCATCTTCCAGTGGCCTTTTAATCAGGAGCCTTGAGCTTGCGGTAATGGTTCAGGGGGGGACAGATGGGTGTTCGTAGACCCCTTTTAAAGGACGGGCAGCCCCAGCAGGCTCGACTCGGCTGCATTGTCAGCTCCCCGGAGCCAGTCCGCCCGGCCCCCCGGCCGCCAGCCAGGGAGAGGCTGCCCCGGTGTGGCCGCGAGTCGCCACTGCCTGTGTCAGCCTCACCGGGAACAAAACCAGCACAGCACCCATTCAGAGTGCATACCCACCTCCTGGAAAACAGCAAACAGCGTAGTTCTTTGAATCAAAGGCAGCTTATCTGTGAGCCGCACGTGAAATAGCAAACTCAAGTTTTTAAGGTGATTTTCAGCCTATGCAAACCATTATTAAGATGTCTTAGTAATTAATTAGTAAGATTCTCTCCACATCCCAGCTACTGTTTCTCTAGCCAGCATTTCATTTAGTCCTTCAATTGATGGGAATGCCAGCGACCGCTTTAGGTAAGTGAAAGAAATTCATCACTCGACTTTTTTTCAAGAAGAATTTTGTTAAAATTAGGTGTGAAATGCAGTTTTGAGTACAAGAAGTAAATAAGCCATATGTGCTATTTGACTTTGAAAATAGAACATCCAAGTGTCTCCTTGGATATTAACTGAGTACGTTTAGGATTTTCACGCAGGTAAGTTTCTGGAGAACACACACGGGATCCAAAGAATCCTTTTGGCCAATCCCACCAAGTTTACACAGTGTCTTCTGGATGACCCTCCTAGATTGTTTGCAAGAGAATTTAAGCTCTCTTTGGCTTCCCGAGGACATTACTGCGGTTTAAAACATGTGCCATATAATGGGTTTCTTTTGGACACTTAGCCCCATGCAGTCAACACCCTTCTCAGAAACCTTCTATAAATCGTGAGCCATTAAATAAAGAGTACTTAAATAAAGAAGACCAACTGTGAAGGAAAAAAAATCCTCTTTATCAGGATGCACTTAAAAAGACTGGTCTCTGTTCATTTTTCCTGGCCAAATGGAAGTCTCTGCTTCTATACCCTCCCTAGCCAGGCCTTTGTCAAGCTTTGTACAGTTTATATGATGCTGGGGGAGCAATAGATACTTAAGTTTTTCTAAAGAAAATTACAGTTTCTAATTACACAGGACACCACTCCTATACTTGGAAGTACAGTTCCAGGCTTTCCCCTTGGGTGAGGCCAGATGACCTGGGAACTAAAGAGGGTGGGTCATGCTTCCTCCCTCCCTCCTCTCTGCATCCTTACTGCTCCCCTCCCCTGGTTCCCACCCCAACAGTCTGTGTCTGCCTGCACTCCAGGGGCATGTCCATGGCTTTCCCTGAGGAATGATTATGAGGAACTACAATACGTAACTTGCCATCTGTCTTTGTAAACGTTGGTTTATAAACTTTGTGATCCATGATATCATTCAAAAGCCCCTATAAGAAGAGTCAAGACGTATTTCAGGCCTGTGAGAAAAAGCTTTCTTCCAAGGAACAGATAAGGTTAAGCATTATGGATGACAAGAATTATTCAACTGATTGTGTTTTGCTAGTTACTTTGGCCACCAGGAAACTTGGGACCAATTTTATGGCCTGAAGTCATAAAAGAACCCATAAAAAAAAAAAAAATCAACCCCCTGTGTAATTATGTACCAGCTTTCTCCCAGTACAATGTTCTCTGTCCTGGTTGCACATTGTCATCATCTGGGGAGCTTTAAAATGACCATGGGTCTGGCTGCCAGCAGGAGAGACTATGATCTCATTGGTTCAGGCTAGGGACACGAGCACCCGTAATTTTGGGATCTTCCCAGGAAGTGCTAACATGCACACAAGGCTGAGAATGGCAGCTTTGGCCCGTGGTTACCAAAATTTGCTTCATATAGGAACACCGGGGGATCTTTGAAACTACTTCTCTCTGCCTCCCACACTCAGATTTAATTGGTGCGAGGTTGCCACAAGGGCATCAGTTTTCCATGCTCACCAGCAAAATTGAGGGAACTCTGACCTACACTTCTGTTCCTATTCTTTACCTAGTTTCCAGGATCCTGATTCTTTTTAATGCTTTTTAATTGAGAGGAAATTGCATATTAACAACCATACTCGAATCCTTTGTGAAATAAGGTAGAATGCTAACAAATATATTTAATATGTCTAGCATCATGGATCAGTTTTACACACACCCCTATCACTCTGAAGTCTCAGGTTAGGAATCTAGTTTATTGGGGGAGGGCAGTGAGGACAACCCTTAAGAGAAACTACTCAGCAGTCTTATCCAAAGCAAAACTGTTGTTCCATCCTCCAATCAGTTTAGAGTACTTTCCCCAGCAATTACATAGAGCCTAACGTGTAGATTGTTCTGTAGAATGTGTTCTGTTTGTCCCCTCGGGAGGCTGCCTTCAACATCTTATAAGGATTTGATACCGTGGGTGTTTGGTAAATGTTCTTCACTTGAGTCGTCAGAACTAAAAAACTAGCAAGAACAATTTTAAAGTACAAAGGTAATCACAAATGGGGAACATTGCAGTGCTAAGCCTCTTTGCAAATTCTTGAATTGGGCTGGCAAAGTATATCTGAATCAAGTCTGAGAAATACCCAAAGCTGAATAATACATAGTGTCACATATTTGCCTGTGTCATATAAATGACACTAGATTTTTCTCTTCCATTTTGGTGATATTCCTTTAGAAAGAAATCATGAAGCAGGCATTATGAAGATGGCCATGCACCTGTAAAAACTGGTGTCATCCTGTTACTTAGCAGCATTCACTGATGCATAGAGAAATCTCACAAGTTTAAGGTGTTTAGGATTACATAAGGAAATAAGCCCAGGCTTCAGAGGTTTGACAAGAATAGAGGTGGGTAGCAAAGAATGACTTGTAAATAGCTAATCTTTTTTCTATTTAAATAGCTGAGCTTTTAAAGAAACACATTTGGAACACCTATGTACTATTCATTCTAGCACTCAAAAAAAGAATATTGTCTGAGATACAGATGGATGATTCTTATTTTAACTAATCTGACAAAAATACCTGCCTTTTAACTGGCTTCACTGGCTATTTCCTTTTTCTTTTTTTCTTTTTTAATTCATTAATATTTCTGAAATACCTGAATTTGCTTCCACATTTTTACTGTATGCTTTTTTTCTTCTTACATTTCAATGTGTCTTTTTATTGAGTTGTACTGTTGTTATTCTTTGTTTTCTTATTACTGTGTACGTTCCCCTCTCCTGGTTGGGATGTTAATCACTGCATTTCTATTCTTTTACTGTTTACTTTTCATATTTTACATGCATGCCTAACTTAACAGATCAAGAGTTAATATCTTAATCCCCCATCTGATCAGTACAAGTTTAAAACTCTGTTTTGATCAACTCTTGCCATGGTATTACTTCCATGGTATTCTAGTTTCATTCTGTTCTTTTTTAAACCAACAAATTAGATATTCTTTTTATATTATACAATTTTTTTTTAGCTTTACTAATATGTTTTGTGGTTTTGTTTCTAAGGAGTTCTTTTTGCTTCTTAGACATTCCTTTGGGATCACTTCCCTTTTTCTTGAAGGACATCCTCTTTAATTCCTTTATAAACTGTGATAAACTCTCAGTTTTTGTTTATCTAAAAATATCTACCCTCATCCATGAAAGATGGGGAAAATTATATATTAGAAGCAGACTCTAAGCTGTTGTGGAATGTGGAAAGATGTAAATAAATGTTCTTAATGTGACTACAGTCTTTGGTTTTTACCCACCCTTACCATCTGAAGTCTTAGGTTTATAAAAATCAGTTTATTTTTGGGTTGCTGGGGGACAGGACAACCCTTAGGAAAAACTACTCAATAGTGTTATCTATATATATAAAAGCCTAATATGCAAAGTGTCCCCTCACGAGTTTGATTGACTGACCACCAGGGGGTGGCGTGAAATGAAGGGAGGCCCCTGCTGGCAGCCAGAAGGCCCTGATCAGCCCTGATCACTGGCCAAATTTCATGCACCAGGTCTCTAGTCTCCGATAAAATGATTGTCTTATCCCCAGCACTTTGAAGGTGCTACTCTGATTTCTGACTTCTATTGTTGATAATGAATGGGCAGCCCTTAGCCTGATTACTGTTCTTTTGGAAGTTGTTGCTTTTTGTTCTTGGTATGCTTATATGTTAAACTTCCTACAATTTGTCTATATGTGGATTTCTTTTTACTTATCCTAATATATTTTGTACTATAAGTGTTTCAAAGAGAGTCTACATGTGGATTTCATATATATATTATTGACTTCCCACAG